GGCAAAGTCTTGCCATAAAGTTCTGTCCTGTAGCTGCGGATACAAACTCAAGCTGGTCGTGTGCAGAACTCTAGCATGTCGAGCCCACTACCCCTCGGCACAGCCAAATGTTTCAGCAGCTGCCCTTTTGTCCTGTTTCTTAAATAAACAAAGAACAGATACAAATTAATGACCTAAATTTATGGCGAAACACACTGCCTTCCCCAAGCAAATAGCCTTAAAAGAACAGATGTTAAAATAGCATTTTGTACTCGCAGATAGAGAAAGCGGCTACTGTGCAAATGCAAGAGCTCGGGACGTACAGAAAATAATATCTAAAGAATCTAATTGTGCCACACTGTCTCCCTCTGCCACAAACTGCATAACCTTCGGATCATGTGTTGTACGGAATAATTATCGTCCCCAGGGCATTCCACAGCCCTTCTTTTCTCCTCTTATAATCCCAGTAAACTTTCTCCTTTCATTCCTTTATATTCTTTTTGGAGCTGAAAAGAGCAAAATGATCATTTTGCCAGCACATTAAATAGCGACTGGCAATCCAGTGCTGTAATCCTAAATGCAATTTAGTCTTGAAGAATTGTGCTCATGCAACGCACCACCTCAGTAAACCATTCCTTTGAATTATCTCTTTGTCTTACCCCAAAGGGTGCATTCATTACACAGGAGAGAATATTTCTCGGCAAATTTTTTGCTGAGACTTATCTTGTAAATGCCTATATTTAAGCAATTGTTAATTATGCCCATGTGCAAAAAAAAAAAAAAAAAAGAAAAGTAATTAAGAGGAGAGAGGTTTGGGGGTGGGGGCAGCTATTTATTTATTTATTTTTGTGCAAAACCAGACGGAGACACGATCGCGCATGGGAGGCGAACGTGCCCGTCCGTCGGCGAGCCATCCTCGCCATCCGGCGTTGGCGCGAGCGGGAGCGAGCAGCGCCGGGTCATCGCCTCTGCTCCTGAGAGGAATGAAAAGGCATCTCCGCTTCCCGCACAGCGAGCGCATTCTGTTTATACTACACCACATTGTATTTCCAGTCTTACTCAACATTTTAATATACATTTTCTTGTCAGGCGTCTTGGCAATCGGGTACACGACTTGCAAGATGGACTGAGAATTCCACAGGTGGACTGATTAGTGGGTGGCATTTCTGAGCTCGAGCAAGCTGTTAGCATTATGTCTGTTTGCTTTAGGTACAGATGTGAAATGATTTGACAGTCAATCTCAAAGTGTGTGCGAGTTCTTGGGCTTTTTTTTTTTCCCTTGGTATGTCAAACTCTTCTTATAATACAATCCTTATCCGTCTGGTTGTCCATTGAAAAAGCGTTCCCCCCTTCCCCCTCCCATAGCCAATCTGGATGCGTCATGCATTATTCAGAAGATATAATTTGTAAGTGTCAGAAGTGGCTCGGGTTTTTCTTCCTGTTCGCTCGTTTGAGGACCACAGCTGTCGCGACCAAGAGTCCTTTCTGGGCACTGGGGTTATCCCGCTGCAAAAGCAAACTGTTTACTCCGTGCAACTTGTCCGAACACGAGTCTCCTTAACAAAGCCATAGTCGTAAGCAAATGGTGTTTGACAAGTGGAATTTTCTGTTGACTTGCTCATTTCATTTCCCTCTTTTGGCAGAAACACTTGGAACTTGATTTTCTTGCAGTTACTATGAGCCCAGAATAATAACTCCTAAATCAACACTGAGGAGGTGGAAAGGTACAACAACACAAACACTCAGTAACAGTCAGGACAGCGACATGGAAATATGAGCTGACATGCAGAATAACCACAAGTGGTGCATAATTTATTGATTGCACCTTGTCATGGGAATGATGAGCTCTCAGCTAGTGGAATTATATTTTATATATTTCACAACTTTGGGGGAAAAATATAAATATTATATATACAAACTGCATATACAGTAACTAATGGATAGAGCAAGATTCCTATTTCCAGTTAGTGAAAAAGTTGTATTCATCACAAAGCAACGTTGTCTGGAGCTGGGCAAACCCAGGAGAAGGGAGGCAGGAAGAAGGCAACGTAGCGACAGTACTACAGCACTGTTTGGATAATTAGGTGAATGCAGTTAGGTGAGAGGCGTCCCAGCTGAATGTTCAAATTGCACAAATGTTGGGAGGCAGACATATTATACCATAAACACTGAGCTTTAATGTTGCACTAAGTTGTGAAATAATATTTCAGTATGCCTCATGTATGTGAACCCACAGAAAGTAGCAGCATGAAGTGGCAAGTAAACAACAGCAAAATACACTGAAAATGTAGGGTAAAAGGTCTGAGAACTGTATATTTCTTTACATCTTTTACGTTTCAATCAGGCAAATTTGAAGCCTTTCTGTGGCTAGGCACAACACAGCATCCTCATTCTCTTTGCCTTGTTCTCCATGCTTTTTTTTGGCACCTGAGGGGATTGTTACCATGCTTGTTTCCAGGTTCAGACTGCTCCCCTTTAAAATAAGTTGCTGTTTGCTCATCGTTTTAATTACCTGCTAAGCAGCTAGGAGCTGTGGCAGACCGGTTCCTTGCTCAAGCAGTCAAATATGGGAAGATCCGCAGATAGCATCATTTGCTGAAGGATGGCGACTTAGGCTCAACATAGATGGCCAGCAGGGGAAGCACTAGCAGGAGGACCACTAGCAACTCCATCAACAGCCCTGCCTTGACTAGGTGACTGAAATAAGCAAAATAAATGCACAAGAAATGCAAGCATTTGCCTTATCTAGGTTTCACCCTACAGGAGAAAGTTAGCAGGTTAGCCAGCTGAAAATTCACTATTTCCACTATTTTAAATAAATTGATCTTTCCTCTAGCTCCATTGGAAAAACAAGTAAGCGCTTTGATTTCTGCCGATTACCTACTACAGCACTCGATTTACAGCCTTGGAATCAAAGCTTTCTCTGAGTAGAAAAGCTGTTTCTCAAAGTGCCTCTTTTTCAGTGATATGAAGAAACATGTCAGAGGAGACACAGCAATGCACTCCAAATGAGAAACAGGGGCTCAGTTCAGTGCTTGCTGGTATCAGCAACAGATTTGTCTATATCACCTTCTGCAGCTAGGAAAGTTACTGCCGTACATTTGCCATTTAAGTTGTGATCTGGTCTCCTGCTGCTTAAGGAACAGCTTAAGTGGGAATAAAAGCAGTTTTATCGGAAGAAACTTGTAACAAAGCCTTGGATACCATGAAATCACAGCAGAAAAATGCGCCTCAATATTTCAAAGAGCAAAGAGGCTTCAGCAGAAAGATGGTGGTCCTTCTCTAGAGAGCAGCAGCAGTCTGGGCTGAAATGCTGTTTGGTTTAAACGTGTTCAGGGCCCACCCTGGTTATGACACACACTTTGCTTTATTTGCTCCCTCAGGACCCAGAAATACGTTTACCACCCTGCTCCAGGCAATATATATCTCACCATTTTCCATGATTTACAATTAAATCTTATCTCACAAGTGGAAATCATTTCTGAGCTGTTTATAATGTGAATGGGATGGAGACCTATGACTAAATATCTCATTTATTATTTTGCATTAGTCTGCTGCATTTTATGAGCTCTCTCTATGTTAAAAATAGAGAATGTTTGTGTTAAACACATATTTTGGGTGACCTTCTCAGAAAAAGAAATTACCGGGCTGAGTACACCCAGATGTGAATTATAAGAGGTATGTGGAAGACTATTAGAAGAGGTGAAGGCCGCTATGAAAATGCTACTGAAGACTGCAGAAAAAGCAGCAGCACGGAGGGTGCTGCTCTTGCTCCTGCTCGGCCATTACAGCAGCACCCTGAGAGCCACCTGCCGTGGCCGACACCTCAGTGGCAGCAGCACCGTGCTGCCACAGGCTGCTCTGCAGAAATAAATTCTTCATGAAAACCAGGCCTGC